CTAAAAAAGCCAGAAAGAAGAGAAGCATGGGAAAGCAGCTCATCTTCTGCCTGTGAAATGACAGAGGTGAAGAGTCATGAACACAAAGATCAGCTAGTACAGCAACAGAATGAAATCATCCTTATACAACTACCTATAGCCACTTCAGTGCAAGCGGTGAAAATAAACCCCTTCAGTTTGTCTTTTTACACATGCAGTATTACTACTATAGTTTATAAATTGGGCAATCAGGTATCTAATAGCAAAGCAGTCTACGTTTTACTAGCAATGTTCAAAGTGTTTCACAGAATGTCAACCAAAAATAAAATTAAACACGACAATTATACACAATACACAGCCCTCCACAACAGTCCCAGTTTCTACTGCATCTCACTGGGAAATTTAATTAGCCACACCTGATTTAGGCCAAACAATCCCCCCCAGCTGAACAACAGGAACTGTCTTAAAATTCAATGTTGACGAAAAGACCTTCATTTCCCACTGCATTTGATGTGCACAGGAAAAAAGAAAAATCATGCCCACCTGTTGCATTCAATTGCTAGCAATTAGTTAATCAATGCAAACAATCAGACTAGAGTGGGCATAAATGTATCAAGGGGGTTAATTAGAGGAAAAACTGCTAAAAACAATATATTTGCAAATAGTAATCAATAACATGCTCACTTTAATTTATGGACATTTTTGACAGTACTTACTCACAGGCTCAGCCAACAGCAGATACAACAAACTAAGCACTTGAAAGAGATGAAGACAAAAATAATGCAACCCTTCCTTTAGAAATGTAAGGTTAAAAACAGCTTTTTTGTAGGCTGCAGAAAAGACGCAAGCTAAGTACAAAAAAAAGGGGAAGGGTCTTTACCTGGGTGTTTATATTGGTGCTGTTCAAAGCCTGCTGGGATCAGTCACATGACTTTGTTAAGAAATTATGTTAAAGGATAGGTAGATGAGTCTCCATTTCATTGACTGACTCATTGATTTGATCAGGGCCCTATACTATGAAGTTAGTTCAGCCTACTCAGGATATCTTCCCCTAGATTCACCCTGACAGTGGTGATCAGATTAAATGGTCACACAAAGCTCGTTATCAGCTCATTAAGTTCCCAAGGTTTACCCTGAAGTTATTTGGATAAGCTAAAATCTGGCATCACAATACAGGTCTCTAGCCCTTGTCTGCTCTGATTGTCTCTCAGAAACACACCAACTATTCTCATGTCACATTTGACTGTGTGAAATAGTTTCATTATTATATAAATTTTTGCACACACTGGTGTCAGTTAAAAAGCTGCAAATTGTGTTGAGGTATTTGAAGGAACTAGCAAAAATAATAATTATTATTATTGATAATAATTATTATTAATTATTGTCTGGTGTCTAGTCTAGAAAATTTGAAACTGATGTCTGTCAGCATTTTTTCCTGCTTTGCCTCTTCTTGTTTCTGTTTGTGGCAAATGAGTTACATTCTAAATATAAAGCAGGTGGGGAGAGGATGAAATACAGCTCACTGAGCTCGGGTTTAAAATATAAAAACAACACTACCAGAACTCACCTGTAACCTGACACGCCTATCTCTGTTAAACCAGTCAGACTGGTTAAATGAGGGACTTCACTTCTTTCTTTGCTTTGGTGTTTATGCAAAGAAGGAAGTGAGGTGTAGAGTGAAGGACACAGTGGTGAACATCGGGTAACTATAAATTATTTTAACTAAAGTAATTGTTTACATGTGTGTTCAAGAATCTTTGAATGATGCAACTATATTCAGGGGGGTAGGTGGCTTTAGCTAAATATATGTCATTTTAAATGTACCTGACATTAGTGGTGAAAAACTACCTTTAACCTGTAGTTTGTGTAACATTAACATAGAGTCACAAACAAATTATATTAGAGTGCTGCTCTATGTAAGAGCACAAGAAAGAACATGGACACTAAGTCATAGGGAAGAATCAGATTTAGGCTAGACTGTAAGTCCTGCATTTTATATATTTTACATTACTACCAGACCCATATATTCCTTTCTTTATACACAATGCAAATTGAATAGAAAAATAAAATTGGTTATAGATGTTGTTGTTCTTTTCGCTCTGATGCAGAATAGTCATGGTAAATTTCTTGCATGAATCCAAAGTGTTTTTAAGTTGTACAACACATCACTAATAACTAGTAGATGGTAAGAGAGTCTCTTCAGATACACATCTATACGTCACTCAAATCTTTGATCACTGAGTACCAACATTTTCAACAGCATTTATGGAAAGGTGTTGAGTAAGTAGACCTTTGACTTGATTTGAACTTTAATGAAAGCCTCTAATATTTCATCTTCATCATAAATAAATTCATTGTCTCCTGGTATGTTGATTTGTCAAGAAAAGACCCATCATTCCCTCTGTGATTTCTCACATCTATTTTTTGATAATACATTGAAAAATTACAGATTACATACTGCAGCTGTAATATTAAAAATAATTTTTGCCCTCTCTCTTTGACCAGGTAGCGACTGTTTTTACCAACATGAAAAGGCATCACGCTCAGCTGACATTACAGTTCTTATTGAATACTAATTGTCAGTCTTATTCCTACAATATGCAGTTCAGCATTGCCAGGTACCAGGTAAGAGGGCATGAGGAGTATGCCCCTGCCCACACATTGTTAGCTGTAGAGCAGTGAAGGTGAACAACATCCAAATATGGACTGCCACTTCAAGGCCAGTAAGGAAAACAGAGTGTACCATAGCAACACAAAAATATGACCACTTTATTTAATTATATTTAAAGAAATGTTAATAGAGTATTATGAGTTTGAAACTTAAGTTTTTCCTATACATTAACATCATATTAGTAGTGTATAGTATTAACAGAAAAGGAGAAGTTTCATTTATAAGATTGCTATATTCCTTTATGTAATTAGTTTGTCCTGCC